AAAAAGTGGAAAATTTAAAGGAATAGAAGCTTTTGAGAAGTAAATCTGCCAACCACGCTGTGTAGTGTAAAGGATAACATGAGTAATATTTAAGCAACTCAGCAGGAGAGGAATTCAGCAATTGTGTAAATGTATCTGGCAGAAAAATAAAATGACCTGTCATTATAAACACAATCATAAAAGCAAAAGAGGTTAAGAACTTACCTCTAAAATGACTAAACACACTTTGTCCAAGCTATTTGTATTTAGCATCACTTAAAAAAAACCCTTTAACATCTTTGGGCAAACCGCATCTCACCTTATACATGGCATTTTCTAATCTAATCTCGTGTACCCCAGCCATGGTGAATGACATTGAAGACTTGAAGGAATCTTTTCTGGAATAGAAAATATGATTTTTCTCAATATAAGTCATGTCTGAAACTTAATGGTTATGCATTAAATATTTAAGCATATTTAATATCCTTTTCCAAGCTCTTGCATTTAGCAGCAGCTGTTACAGTTTACTGCTTAATGTGATAAATACCTTCCCCTCTCTCACTTCATCATTAGAATGTTTTAGTTAGTAGCTTTTTTTAAAAGCAAATTATATTTCCTGGAGATGTTACTGACTTCAAAGAAAGAAAAAGTAAAGTAAAAACTCGATAGTAAATGTAAATGTTTTCAGTTCAGAAATTAATTTTCGGGTCCTCWTGATACTGAGTAGAAGCCCGGCCTGTTTGTCAGCAGCACAAGCCTGTGTTTGTGTTTGCCCAAATTCTCCCGTTTCCAGAAGCGCACCCCAGTGACACTTCCTGCACGCTCTGCTTTTCTCTTCTCTGTTTGCAAAGCTGAAGGTTTGATAAGGGTATGAATTTTCTTATATGTTTGTCTGASCTGTACGCCCATTCCAAGGCTTCTTGAGGTTTTCTTGTTCCTGATACAGTCTGTTACCGAGCYCGGCGGTGTCAGGACGTGCGAAGCTCCCTGATGTCAGTGGCTTCCACAGCAGGTACCTGCTCAGTCACTGGCCCGCAAACTGCAGCAACTGGCCTGCTGATCAGAAGGCTCTGGATATTAAAGGCCATCTTCTCTCTTAAAGACATTAATGTTATGACCAACATAAAWGATCAGGGATTTAAAGCACTGGTTATTTTTAAGTATGACTGTCAATAAACGGCTGGAGTTTTCTGGGCAAAGCTCTGCGTTCTTCTCTTGTAGGAACTGGTTGTAATTTGACAAAGCAATTACCTGATTGGTTTTCATGCAAGTAAATGGAAAAGTGCAGGAGTTTGGTTTAAAGCAGATATAACCACAGTGCTGCAGGCAGTGCTTGTTGTGGATTTTTTTTTTTTTTTTTTTTGTGAACAAAATGAGACTAATCCATCCTGTCTGTATGCAAAATTGTTCCATAATTAAGCTGTAAAAATACCTGTTTCTCTCTCACAATCAATTTCAGATACCTCAGCTATTTCTGTTTTTCTTAAAGAAATTCAAAAAACTTAAAAGATATATTATATGAAACAGCTTCCATGTTTGTTCAATATACTGTTACTGTAAGGTTTCTGTAAAATTGTTTCTTGCACTATACTTCAAGACTAGGAAAAATGTACCTTTYTTTTTTTATTAGAGGATATACTTCCATAGCTTAATTGCTTATTAAAAGCTTACAATAAGTAGGCATTTCAGTGAAATTGAGAAATTCTTAATTAGCTTTAATAAAATCAAATAAGCTGGTGTGTGCTGTGAGCAGCACGGGCTGTGCTGTGTGTGGGACTCCTGGAGTAACGTGAGCACGTGGGGGTTCTGAAACTGTCAGTGGTAAATAGCGGGTCTTGCTGCTTAATGTCAGATTCACCGAGTTGATGGGTTTGAACCCAGGGGAGCAGCTCTTGCAATATTCATAAAATATCCTCCAAGCACAAGATGTTAATATCAGTTGAGTAAAAAAAATCTCCTTTTTGATCAAACTCTTAATTATTATTGTTGGACTGAAAAAGCTATGCTGCATACRTGTTGAAGCGATTCTTACCAGCCTCGTAGGGACCTTCGCTCTCGACAGAAAAGATATTTTCATTAGTTCACATCTCGAGTGGTTCTGTTTGCAGGGAAAATAATGGAGAATTGAATGGTGTTTTTGTAACGAGCCTCTGTCCCACAGCCCTCGGTAGGGTTAGCAGGGAAGCGCCAGCGGTGGCTCCCACGCGCTGCTGCTTGGCCACAGGCTGCCACCGAATATTGCCCAGACAATTGAAACCTGCTGCTTTCAAACCAAAAAAACCCTACTGTTTTCAAACCAAAGATACTACTGTAAGCGCCGAGAAAGGCTGCCGAATTGCACGAGCAACCAGTAGCCTTGCAACTAACAGCAGTTCTTGCATGTGTAAATCCCAGGGTCATCTCAGGTTTTCATTATATGTCACTATGAGCTTTGGGGTGTTTCAGACTCTCTTGAATCATGCTTCAGATTCTTTTAAGTGTACAGCAGTGGCTTGTTTTTGTTAATGATGGTTTAACTGTTCAGAGGTGCCAAGCCGAGGTGAGTGCACTAACCATGAATGATAAGTAAGTTGTTTTTTTTCCCCAGACCGTTTGATTCCTGTGTTGTAATTAACGTTCAGTGGTGGCCGTAGTGGTGCAATCCTCTGGGAAGCCTTTTTCCTTGTATATATTTTTCTGCCCATCTTGCTCAGATGGGGATGTCTGAGGCTGCACTATCCAGGCTGGCTGTGGACGAGGAATCRATGGCCGTAATAACCAAGACCTTTATAGTTCAGGGAGTTCTGATGGGTGGGAGTCAATCACATGAATAGGAGAGAAACAGCAGTATGTCCTTACAATATCTGACCTTATTCCCAAGAAGGACATAAGGAAGGGGAAATACGGAGGCTTTGTTTTCTTAAATTCAGTCTTAATCAGATAGTTAATAAACTTGCACAGGGAGGACTTGGGGAATAAGTGGCATTGAGCTAAGCAGCAAATGACCTAGGAGAGGAGAGGGGTAGTAGGAAGCTTGTTTCTTGTTTCACAGCCCTTTCTTGGATTGCTTATTTTAGTCATCTGAAGGACTATTTTAAGCCACTCCAAATCCAGTTACTCCAAACATAAGTGGAGCAGAAGTGGAAGCAGGGATGGGCTGCCTGGGAGGAGCTTGGAGCCATCGCTCCAAAGTGCRAGATGGAGCTGGTAAAGTTCAGCTGCTGTTGAAATTACTGACAGGGCTGTGGAGGGCTGTGGTCCCTGAAATCCAAGTATTACATTATTTTTTCCCTTTCTTCCTGCTCTTGTCACKGTGGTTTTGGTGTGAGGTTCCCCCTGGGTTGTTAAAAGCGGAGGAGGAGCTGCGCAAGGTGGAGCAGCAATTACAAGCAGCGAAATGAAAAATAGCACCTCGGGATCCCTGTGTGGTCTGGCCTGATTGCCAAGAAGCCTATTTCCAATCCTGATTGCAGGGGAGGAGAAAACCATTATGGATTTTCATTTCCCTCCGAGTTGCTATGCTACAACCTCCCTTCCTTTTGCAATGCAATTTGGTGTCAAGATGAAACCCTTGCTGTGGTGCTGCCCTGCTCCCTTCTCTGGAAGCTGCTGCCCCTGTGCACATTCCTCACAGGTTGCAGGGTTAGGGTTATATATGTAACATACATATATGCATATGTTGGATATATAGCTCATTTGGACTGCTGCCCTTGACTTTTAGACAATAAATAAAAAGTCCAGGGAGATGACAAGGACTGATCAGCATTTCAGCCTCCAGGCAAGTCAGTAGCTACAGAAGCTGCACAGTACATCTGAGTGCAATGGAGAACAGGTTTTGAACTGCTAAAGGAAATTTGCTGTGGCTGCCAAGCATCAAAGAATGATTTGTATCTTCCCTTTAAAAGCTTTTCTTCATCAATGTTTTATTCTTCTGAAGATGGGTTTCCTACTTTTAATGGAAAACTTGTATGTTCCATTAACTTGTATTAGCCGCTCTTCAGAGTGTGCTGGGAAACTGAAATTTGGACAGGGAGAGGTGTTTATGTTCAGCTGAGCTTAAGCTAATGTAATTAGACAGTCTTTGGAATTTAAATTGGTCTCTCTCCTTTGCACATTTAATAGGGAAATTCAGAGAATGATCCTTCATTGTGTGAGCGGGGAGGAGAGGGTAAAGGAGGGATGTTCTCCATCTCTTCCAAGAGAGCAGATATTCAAAATGCAATGTTTGTTGTAAGGTGCAAACCTAGAAAAAGGTTGTTTTGAGAGTATAGAGGGTTGGTTGGACTTTTTTTTTCTTTAAGTTTTCATTCATGAAGCTGAAAATGGAGTTTTCCACAGTGGAGATCTCCTTTCCCCGCTCCGATACAGCTCCTGAGGCAATCCGGCCGCTGTGTCTCGCTATGCGATGACCAAGGACTCGCAGGAACCTCTTTTATCATCTGATTCCCATGGCACTGGGTTACCTGCGGGCTTTCAGACACTGTCCATTCAGCAGYGTGTTGGTCTTCAGCAACACTGGTAAAGGAGACCATTGCCCTGGCTCCACGGAAGAGAAACGAGCCTCTAATTGAGTTGCCTTGTGTCCCTCACCTCCTCGTGAGCAGTGGTTCCTGGCAGGAATTCACTCCAAAGCGTTCCCAATGGGAGATTGTTCCCGTCTTTTTTTCCCCTTTGAAATAAGGCAAAAGAGAATGAAAACACAAGAAAACATGGGTGTGCTAAGGGAAGGTGGGAAGGTGACTTGGTGGACTTTGTGTAGATGCTCATAGCCACCCGTCTCCATAAAGGGCTGAGGTGCATTCATGTTTATTGCATTCCATGCTCAGGAATGTGGATAACCCCAGGCTGGGATGGATATAAGGAGTGGGAAAGGCCACTCCTTATACCAAATGGTGCAGAGGGGCCTACATTGTGAGACCTGATTCCTGGGCTGCTCTGGGCCTTTGGCCTTCAAGTTTGCTGGGGAGAGGGATTTAGGGGGATTTTTTTTAACTATATAGTTCTTTTTTAAATTAATTGTGTACAAAATTTTCTCTTTTYAGTTGTATATGAGCACAGGTCAAGATTAGAGAAGTCTTTACAAAAGGAACGGCTGGAACATAAGAAAGCAAAGGAAGGTAACTCATGCTTTTTGTTTTAACAAGTTGAATATTTTAAAATATTTGTGCTGTCTTGTTCGATGTGAAATGAGTTAGCAGTGCCTGACACAGTAACAGGACCCCTGTGGGATCCATACTGCTGGTGTTTACAGACCCCTACAGCACACGTAGGATAGCAGAGACGCTGCATAGGTAGCTATACATACACCTCACCATGGATATGGAGTATGGGTATGTGCAAAGTGTGTTCTGGCATCATGTTAAAAAAAAAATTAAAGTTAATAACAGGCTCTTTTCATACATTCCATAGATGAATTTTTTATACAGTAAAATGCTCTGAGTTTTCCCAGCTTTTTTATTCTCAGTTCTTYGCAACTTTCAGAGTAAATTCTTTATTATTCCTAAAGTTGATGACTCGGTGTTTGAATTAAAGCAACTAATCTAGCAAGTGTGTGTGTGTGTGTGTATGTGTGTGTGTGTGTGTGTGTGTATATATATATATATATATATATATATATATATATATATATATAAAAAAAAAAAACCCCTCTGTAGTTCTAAGGTAGCTTTCTGGTGCCATCTAGTGACAGTTGTCTGTAGTTGCACAAAAGTCAGGTTTTTTTTTGGAATAGATTTAATTACCCCATGTTATCCTGAGCCTTTTTGTCTATATCTCACAGTAAGATTTAGAATATATTCCTAATGACTTTAGCCTAGTTTTATATTAAAATAGCTTGTCAAAAGTTTTGAGTATTAGGTTAAATTCATCTTAATCATTAAAGCTTTTTGGGGGAGAAGTTGTAACTACAGAAGTGTTCAGCTCTTAAGGGAATTTGCATGTGCAATACTTATGCCATGTGTTATTTCTGTACAGATTCTRACTTTCCTGGCTTCCCCTTTTATGTTGTAGATTTTCTTGTTTATAAGCTTGAAGCACAGGAAACCCTAAATAAAGGAAGGGTAAGTTGTCATTCTTGGTGTCTTTTTTAACATTTTAATATTGGATGTTGTTTGAACTGTAAGAAAAAATGATTGCTTTGAAATTAAAACTGTTTAAAGGGAGTGACTTCACAAAATGCTAATTGAAGGAGCTCTTACTGCATTTCCACTCTGCATGTTCAAGTGCTCTGAGAAGGTATATCCTAATGCTTTGTACTGTAATAAGCAATAGTAAGATTTCTTAACAGAAAATTAATTTGGAAAACATACTTTTGTTTGCTATGTATGTTGTTATATATAAAGTTGTATGCTCAAACTTTAATTTACCAGTTGCTGAGCTAGTGGGAGGGATGACCTATAACAAAGGAGAGTTATAACCACTTTGTGGTTCCGACAGAAGTCCAGGTACAGAAGTCAGGGGTGTGACAGGATCATTCCAGTAACACCAGTGTTTTCATCTTGCAGCAAGACTCCAACAGCCGCTACAGTGCGCTGAGTGTACAGCACCAGATGCTGAAGGTAGGTAGCTGGGCACGGGTGGGCTGCTCTCCCAAGGGGATGGGGTCTCRCTGGCTTCTGCTAGTTTCCTCCAGCATGGCAGAAGATGGGACTTTTCTTTTACAAGAGGAGGACATGTTTACAGCAGTTTTTACAAGCCATGTTTTCCAGTGGGTTGTTTAATCCTTTCAAATAGAGTTACTTGTATGGAACACTTGCTTACCAGGCTCTATATAGTTTGGCATGTCAGGAATTTCCCGGACGTGTTCAGCTATTCCCAGGGGAAGAGCACAACTGCCAGGTGAGATGACGTAGCCTCAGAAGAGGAGACTGCCCGTCACAGAGATCATTTTGTGCAGGATAGGATCTGTAATGTGCATGCTTTGAATAATAAACTGCTTGCTATGAATGCTTGCTATTCATCTGGATGTATTTAACAAATTGCCAAAGACAGTATTGGCCAGATATGCAGATGCAGAATGTTTTTCCAATGTGCAACTTTGGTTCTTGCAGAGTCAACATGAAGAGCTAAAGAAGCAGCATGCTGACCTTGAGGAAGATCACCGAAAACAAGGAGAAGAGTTTAGCAGAACCTTCAGCGATCACAAGGAGCGATATTTACAACTGCAGCAAGAAAAAGAGCAGGAAATTTCCAAGCTGAAGGGTATATGCAACCTGTATTTGGCTGCCCATATTAAAATGTACATCTGATACTGCATTTAAAAATGACCAATATCAGGAGATGTGTGATATGAGACAGAAGAGCATTTTGTCTGTTCTCAGCAGCAGGACATTCACACAGAGCRTATGCTGATGTGTTTTTCTTGATGATTTTGTCTTTTCTTCTGAAATCTCTTCATTTTACTTTCAAGTATGTGGTTTGTATTTCTGCATAGATTAGAGAAGTGGTAAGAAACATACCACTTAAAAGGCTGTTAAATCTTAGTGTGGTTGATTCTGCCTTTCATTTTTAGCTCTAAGACTAGTTTCAAATATGAAAAAAATAGGTTTTCCACATGCCTTTCATTTGAGAGGGAGAGGAGAGAGAAAGGAAAAAGGATGTTTGCTGCTTCTATTAAATCTATTACAGATTTAATTTTAATTGTGCCTCTTTAAGATGTGACTTTGCATGTTTCATATCTTGTTTTTGCTCTACTTTTTGGTTTCTCTGAAACACATTACATCAGTGTATTTGGAGGATGAAGTATAATATGATTTTTCCTTTTAGCATCTAATTTCCTGTTAAAGAAATTCTTTACAGTATACAGGACTTATAAATCCTAGTTGTACAATTGCAAAGAACAAAAGGCTGAGACTTCACATGGCATTGGTGATTTTGGAGCTCTGCAGGTTTGTAGCAGTGCGTGTTGCAGCACCTGGATCATGGGCGCAGTTTCCTCGTRCCTCCTTGCAATGCTGCACTTGACTAAGAGCTGGGGAAAGATGCCCCTCTCTCCAGCCCCAGACGTGGAGCTGTTTAGGTGGGCTGGCCATCCGGGTACCACCTCTGTGAGAATTACTGAATGAGCAGGAATCTCACTGACCAGATGCAGTGTGGGGCAAGGGGGAAGAGAAAAGGGTAGCTTCCTTTCTTCGTTTTAAAGTTTCAGATTGTCATAATGAATTTTGCCACCTGTGGTGCCCAGTGTGAACTATTCCAGTTGCACGCTGGATGCACCAAGCTAAGATTTAACGGAATTTCAGACTCTTCCCTTTGGAATGGTAAAGCTTTTTCCAAAGTGGGTAGAGAGATGCAGTGTAAACARACTCTGATATGATCTGTTTTTACTATAGCAATTGTGCAGTATATCATGCAGTTGATACTGTAATCTTAATTTTGGTGCTTTACCCAGTGTTAGCAGTCTGAGGTTCAGCTTCTCTGTTCTTTCTTTCAAACAGAATCGCTCTATAATTTACGAGAAGAGAACAGGCAGCTGAGGAAAGCTCACCAAGACGTCCACACTCAGCTGCAAGATGTCAAGGTAAGCTTTGCTTCGAAGAAGGAGGGATTTTCTTTTTCCCYGCATGGTCTTAAAGTTCAAGTTTTAACAAGCTGGAAATGGACTATAACAAGAACTTGCATTTTTCTCTATTGTGGCAAAAGAGAAAGGAAAATGGCTTAACTGGATTTCCTGTCTTCTGCCACTTGCAGTTAATTCTCCTTCCTTTTCCCCATCTCCTTCAATCCACAAGACAAAAAAAGCCTAAATTGCAGGAGAAACATTTACTAGATGGATTGGGAAAAGGACTTTGTAATAAAAGGTTAAAACAAAGTTTATCAGAATGAATGGTTTCCGTTTCTGTCATTTTAAACATTCATCACCAGGTACTCCAGCATCTTTTAGACGTACAAATTCTGGCAATTTAACTTACGTTTGCTTGCAGTGCTCACTTTCATTTGGATTTAATATGTTTCATGTTGAATATCTAAGAGCTGTAACTCTACCCAGAATTCTTTTTTGAAATAAATGGAAATATATCTTGAAAGTTCAAAAACCCCACAGGCTGCTGGATTTGCTTCTAGAATGGACTTACTGTGAAACATTTAATGTTCTTCTTTTTGTATAGCAACAGCATAAGAACTTACTCTCTCAACACAACCGGCTTGTAGTGACATTGGAAGACCACAAGAGTGCTCTAGCTGCAGCGCAGGTCAGAAGGGAAAGCAGCTTGCACTGCCTCTAACCTTCCTAAAACTCCTTTCTCCAAGTTCAGCTGACTATAACGTTGTGCATGTAGCCTTCGCATGGGAAATTGCAGGGAGCACCATGCTGCACACTCCAGAAAAATGCATGAGTTAGAGGGTTGCTCTTTAACAGMAGCAGCAGCAAATTCCAGGGATTCMGAAAATACAAACTCTAATATAGGCCAAAGTGTGCATGTGTTACTGATATGGGCAGTATCTCTCCCTCCATGAGAGATGCTGAGTACCTCTCTCTTTCTGTCTTCTCTGCTAGAACTTCTGTACTCAGATGGATCACATAGACATGAACTATGATATATATAAAAGGCAGTCTCATTCTGTRTATGACCAGAAGCTATATAGCTATAGACATCAGTGCAACAGAAGCAAGAGTATAAACAGAGGAAAGTAAACACGAAGTAAAACTCAAATTAGCTAAAAAGGAGCAGCAGCACTGCCTTTCTTAAATGATGTTTTCAAAGAACTCAATATTAAGCTCAAACCTTGTGAAGCTCTTGTAGATTTGGCCAGCTGTACCAGCACACGCTGTGCAGGCCACAGGGAACCCAAAATCAAGAGTCATGTTGGAGCAGAGAAAGACTCAGCAAATGGACAGAGGAAAAGCAACAAGGCAGTGTCAGGCTRTTTGATTCCTGACTCCTTTTTCCATTTAAGTGTTCCCAAGGTCCACGAGTGGCTTTTAAAGGACTGGATCTTTCCCTCAAGTTCTGCTTGTTGTCTTTCCCTCTGGAAAGACGAGTGTAACTATTTTGCATTCTGCTTTGCTTTTAGGCCTGTCTGTTGTAATGGATGCCATAGTCTTTTGAAGAGGCTTCGAGGTGCGTCTAGCTTCGGAGCTGCTCTCATGCATTGCATCATGTCAATCTGTAGCACTGTGGATATTGTTTTGTATGAGTATTTTGCATTGGACATCAATGCACCATGCCTGTCTGCTGTACTATTGATTGCTATGATACCACGTAACAGACACWAAATGACCTACGCAGTCACTGGGTCTGAACCTTGGCCAATTTGTAACCAGAATTAAAAAATACATATATGTATGCATGTGTGCCCACACATTTATATATTTAAAAATATATATATGAATATGAAATGCCTCTCAACTTCAAAATGGATGATAAATCATTACTTTTCCCTGCTATATGAATATGAGTTAGTTTTTCTTTTCTCCCCTGCCCCTACTAGGGTAGCAGCCCAGGGGCACCACATTTCGTATGTGTCAGTAGAGCAGCTTTTCTATAAATCCTGTCTTTTTCAAGAGTTGTTCTTTGTCTCTGTAGACAGTCACAGCAAATGACTTGTCCGTAGACAGTGACTTGCAAATGCACAGTAACCAGCCTTGCTTCTCACACTAGTCATGAAACCTTGTTGAAAGGGTCCTGATCTCGTACAGGGTGGAACAGCAGATCAATTTACACAATTTACAACATCCTGTTGTTGTGTTTTAGGAAAACCAAAGAAATTCAGCTTTCCTCTTTGTTCCTGCTCTTCACTGAAGGTGTTCTATGACTTCCTTTCCCTCAGTTCCGTATCTTGACTATGTCTTCTGTAACATCTGTCTAAATGTTGAGGATTTGGCATTTTCATGACATGTTATATATATTTATTTACTTTAAAACTTGACTGCTGTTTCTAAAAAACACTGCTTTTTTCCTTATTTTTCTTCCCCCTACCTGATAAAGGAGAGCCGTGTTGCTCAGTTTCCCTAACTTTTTAAAGTCTACAGAGAGAAAAGTGTAATCCCCTTTTGACAGTCATTCTGCTGACATGAAAATAACAAATCTTCATCTTTGTCTCTTTTTTCCCCAGTATACTTGTATGCATGTGCACTTTGGCTGAAAAGATTGTGGTGAATCAGTGCTCTCTAGTGCATGGAAACAGCCAGTCTTAAAACCTCGCACTTCTTCTCCACCTTGGTGTTTGCTCTGAGTTTCCAGCATCTCTGGTATCTGTTTTGGCAGCAACTTCACTCTGTGGTGACTACGTTTAACTAGGCAGATTATTTGGATACAATATAATTAATGCATGTTGACTTTAGTCCCAGGTGGAGGAATACAAGCAGCTGAAGGATACGCTCCACAGAATGCCAAGTTTCCGGCAGTCTGAGCAGTTGGAAAGACCACGCGGTCAAGCAGCTCCGGAGGAGGCAGCACCTTCTGCCCGCAGTGACCTCCCAACACACCACGAAGCTGTGGCTGAAGAGCATAAGGAGGTATAAGTAGTGACTGGCTGCTGAAGCCCTAAGAAGCGTGTTCTTATTCAGCACAATTAATTATTACACCCTTAATTTCCATTAGAAGCATGTGCGTAATTGTATGCATTTATCAGCTTATAAGTAGTGAGGAACAGTTTATTGTTTCATAATATAAAAACATGTCAATGATGGCTGTAAATTCCTTTCAGACTGATTTTTAGGGATTTCTTAGAGAAGAGCTTACAGAAACCTTAAACTTTGGAATGATATACAGTCTTTAAAATTTTAGGTATCCTACCTATACAGGAAAACTTAAATAAGACCTAAACAAACTCTCTCTTTGTTTGCTTTATAAAGTTTCAGTGGCAGATTTTAGATATGTTAACTTTATCTGATGCACAAAAAGGAAAAAATGCTATGTAGAAAGGCTAGAGGTGACARTGTCAGTTGTGCTTTTCTTTTACAAGAATTCTTATCCAGTAAAAGCCACAGTAAATAAAAATGTAAAGCATTCTTTATGGATGGACTTGTAATAGTTCCAGTTCAGATAAAGAGAGGCTTGGGTTATTTTATCATTCTGTTGTGCAACATGTTGCTTAGTTGCACAGGGCCAAGAGCCAGATATTGATATCTCTTGGCAAGAAGGATATCTTGTTCCAAAGCAGCCATTTGGCTTTCCTTGCGGTGGTAAAATTGTACTCGGAAAGAATAAAGGTATCTGTATCTGGTCCTCAGGTGTCTTGAAAACATAGAATCTATAATATCTTTTGCTCTTGAACGTGTTTTGCAGAGTGAGAAGCCAAGAGAGAGAGAAGAAATAAATACCCAGGAGACAAAAGATGATGCTGAGGGTTTTCATCTGAGGAAAGGGACTCATGAGGGCCAGCGTGCCAAGGAACTAAATATTCAGGAGCAACAAGAAGCAGGAGAGGATGAAGAACAACRTGTTGATCAAGTTGAAGAGGAACGTAAAAAAGAACTTGAGGAAGAAGAAATGGAGCAGGCAGGTCAGCCTGAGCACTTAGAGGAGGAACAAGATCAAGTAGCAGAAGAACACGAGTGGAAAAAACAGGAACAGAAAGAGGAAGAAACCAACATGTTGGGTGAACGTTACCATTCAGAGGTACAGAGCCATTTTCTTTCCTATTAATTGATTGCATTTGTTGTTTAAATCAGCCACGGCTGGCGCTGTCTTGCTGTCACCTATTTTCACATAAAGTCAGTGTCACGTTTACAGGAAGTTTGGGATTCAAGCACAGCTCGTAGGTGCATAGGACCCAGGCTACGCACATGCTCACTGCAGTGCTTGCCAAATGCAGCTATTTAAGAAACATTAATTCCACGATAAAAAGCAACAGATGGAAAAAAAGAGCAGCCAGCCTGAATCCCACCCCCTGCCTGAAGTTTGTTTTCTGTGTAGYTGATGGGAAGAAGATGGCTGGTGAGAATGGGACCTGCGCTCAGCGTTTTCATGGGGAGCTCTCCTATGTCGTTATGTGGTAACCCCACAAACCGTTGAATGCTTCCCATTCAAATACATCTACCTTCCCTAACATCTTTCCATCCAAGCGTTCACTGTCATTTGACAGGTAATTCTAATTGAAAGCCAGGCATCTCTAGAAGAGCTGGGGAAAATCAGCAAAGGCAAGTCTTGTTTTATGCTGCTGTAAACACAACCAGAGTCCTGGGTTCGCATTCTATATTGGATTGCCACTGGAAAATATCTTTTATTGGCCTCACTTTAGGTCTTTTGAACAACTTATTTTCTTACCAGAATAACCATACAGTTCTGGTATGATGAGAAGCCAATGTTGAGGTAGTACAGCAGTAGTGCATTGTTAAACAGGCCCGGGCCCAGCTGCCATACAGGAGCTGTGGGTAAGTGGTGCTGGCGTGAAGAACACGCGGTGCCTGGCATGGGGCTCAAAGCAGCCCGTCCCGAAATGGCCATTTGGGTCAACGGAAGCACAATGGGTGTCTGTGCAAACATCAAAGCTTCAAAAGGCTGTGCTCAGAAAACTCACCTACGTTTCTTCTTGCTTTACCTGTAAGTTTTCTCCATTGCATCTAGCACTCACATAATTTTCCCTCTAATTCTGGTAAAACTGTCTTGTGCATTCCTGTTTCTGGTTGTTGCAGCTTAAATTAATTTTGATTAATTTATGATTAAACACATTTCTGTGACAGGCAGCGTTAACAAAAGCTGTCACACAAAGACACAAGCCTGCCTATGAAGAGCAGCTGGAGCAGCAACAGCTTGCAGCCCGACGAGCAGAAGAAGCCAGTCAGCTCCGAGAGCATCAGGAGCTGCTGCACCAGCAGAGACTGCGGGGACAGCTACTACGGCAGCAGCAGCTTCAGGAGAAAGAGCTTGAGCTGCAGAAACGGGCAGAACAAGGAGAAAAACTCTACAAGAAACAACTCAGGTTAACTTCTTTCAAATCAGTCTGTTGGGGTCTGTGCACTGCGTCTCCTGGTTCCATCATACAGCTGGTGGCTACAAGGAAACTAAAGTCATGGAAACTTATTAGGGAATGGAAAAACATGGAAACTTATTAGGGAATAAGTAGAAAGCTGTTTTGAAACACCTTTTGGCTGGTGTTTGGGCAGATGCATTAGGGTGGTTTGTTTCTTGACAGAAAATATTATTTCTGAAAGTGAAATGACATATTTGCATTTAATTTTTTCAGCCAGCAAGRTCATTATGGTAACATGGACCATGATATTGTACAAGGGGAAGAAGAAGCAGGTGTTCAGGAAGAAGAAGAAGGTAAGATGGAACTTGTTACGTCCCTACTGTGTTCGCAGGTCCCTCTGTTGCCTTTCATGCAAGAAATTAATGTTCATTTTGTGTCCAGTTTGGGTTCAGGTGAAATAACAAACTCAGGTTTTACTACCAGAAGTTCAGATTGTACTGGCTGAGTTGTTGCACTAAAATACAGATACTGGTGATGATTTTACCCATGTTCTCAAAACTGTCCAACTGAATAAGCTGGTATTGGACTCTGGATCTCTATTACATTCCTGGCTCTGCCTGTGATTTTGTTTGATCTTCTCTTCAATATATAATCTTCCTATATTGGTTTCCTACTGGCATAATAATTCTGTTGGCACTGTCTTTCTAAACAAGCTGTTTACTCTGGGAAGAGCTGCTTACTGCTAAAAGCATGAACAGAAGCTAGCACATACAAGACAGTTTCTTGAAAGGACTAATTAGAAAGTGCTGTAACACAAATTGTAATAATAAAATTTTGTCAGCTTATGAACATGACAACCAGCACCAAGATGAAGGTGAAGAGGATGATCAAAATAATGCAAATGAGCAGCAAGAACCAGAACATCRAGCAGAAAATCATCAGGGAGATGAATCGGTGAGTGCATTAAGATGCTATGAACTGCAGTGGCTACTGAGGCTAAAACCCGCAATTYTCACCTACCCTAATTACATGCTATAAAAATAAGATAAATCGCAGGTCTGCAAGGAAGGCAAGCTTGACATCTAGGATATTGTTGTCCTTACTGGTTTAGGAAGAAAACAGAAGAAGCTTTGTTATTAGAAGCAAATTGCATTGCYATGTCCCTTGGATCTGTTCTTCATGTGGCATAAAATTTTTGACTTAGAAGAGAGAAACTTGGATTCATAGGAATAGCACACATAATTAATTAGTGGTCAGTCAAAAGTAGTGGTGACAGTGGTTTTAATGGTATCATTAGTAAAGTGGCTAAGATCCAACTCAATACCAGACATGCCCACTGAAGCAGTCTGGAAGTTTTCCACAGGCATCAGTGGTCACTAGATCTAAATATAGTCAGTTTAGAAGAAATGATAGTTCTTTAAAGAAATAATTCTTCATAACTGAACATAACCGAGGTTGTGATGTGGATTGCTCAGAGATCTGGATATTGAGTTTTTCCTCACTTTCCTCACCTAATTTGGTGTCATGGAGCATGAAAAATGCCTTTTAAGGCAGGTGTGGTCAGGTTCCTTGGGGGAGCGAATTTCCTTTTTCACTCTTTAAATTATGGTGATTGTTTTTATGGGGCTGTTTTTCCTGCACGCTGTTGTACATTCAGAGRTCATCAGTTCTGGAGGATGAACTGGCACTGAAAGATCTGGTGAGCCCTTTTGGGCTATTGTCCATAAMAGAGTTGGTGCTAGGGTGGCTTTCCAGTGAAACAGAGTTGAACTGTGAGATTAAAAATGTGCCTTTAACACTCACTTTTGAAAATTGCAGAAGGCAGCAATGGAAGACGTGAACCCTGCTGATGATCCCAACAATCAAGGAGAAGATGAATTTGAGGAAGCTGAGCAAGAGAGAGAGGAAAATCTACCTGATGAAAATGAAAAGCACAAAGAAAACAGTGAGAAGCAGGGACATCCGGGAATGGAGGAGCACCTCGTGGTCAGTAGAGGGAAGGAAGCACCCGTAGGTGCTCTTTAGAGATCTTGATGTGCGAACACCAAACTCTTATTTTAAAGGCCTTTTGTAAAATCATACCTGACATGAGCAGCTCAGAGTACAGACCTGCTCCTGGCGATGCACTGCGGTGAATTCACCATCMACTCCACTCAGCGGAGTTCAGTAGTCGCACGCTTTGGGGTGCCCGTTTGCCCTCACGCCGCCCCTACGAGCAGACGTGTTCACTGCACCCCTCCCGTCTCAGATCCCCTCCATGCTGCGTCCACACTGTTAACACTCAATCAACTGCAGACACTGGTGTCACTTTCCTACTAATGACATTCCAGCAAATTCTGCACACTTGAGTTGCATTTTAAACTGTTACCTCCTCTAAGTAGAGATAATCTGTATTTTTATAGCATTGGTCTCTAGTGGTGTGAATATTTCATKGTCTTCCTGCTTAGTAGGACAATCTTGCTTTATTCTGTGAAATGATTTTATTATTATTATCATTCTGCCTCTATCTTTTTTAATTTAATGCAGTTCTAAATTGTATAGCCAGGATAACATAAATGTTAATGAACACACCATAATTTCTTATGCTCTTATTATTACTTTGTATAGTTTTTAGTTCCAGAACACACAGCTTTAACTGACAGAGCTGTAAAATCAATAGGCAAGCATACAGAACTGAACGCTCACATCATCTCTCTGCAGATGGCAGGAAATCCTGACCAGCAAGAAGATAATGTGGATGAGCAGTACCAGGAAGAGGGAGAAGAAGAGGTAAGAAAGAACATGGCCAAAAGGTACCTGTGAATGCTGGTAACATAGCAGATCTCCATTCATTTTCAATTTTGGTTTCTTTTATAATGAATGAAAGAATGTAAAAGAACTCAAATTACTTTGAGTGGTAATTTCTGACTCTTTGAAACCTAGGAAGTCTTTGTCATTACTATGCTGTCCATTAATATAAAGTTAATTACATTTTCTAGTGCTACTCATGCTTGTATTCTGCAATCCATTAATCTTCTATACAACTGACTATTAATTGTGCACTAATTGAAAAGATTAAGCCACTCACAACTTGAGAAAACATTTCTGAAAACCTCAACCCCTCCAAAAGTCACTGGAAACCTCATTAACTTTGCATTTCTAGTCACGCGCTGCTGTTCTGGGCAAGCTGCTTTCTCGGTCCATTATTTACTCTTTAGCTCTGACTTTGATTCATCTGTGCTCCTTCTAAGCAACTCAAGGTATTTAAACCCGTATTATTCATGGAATCAAATACTTGGGAAGATGTTGGCATACTGCTCTGACCTGAAGGAGAAAGGACAGGCACTAGCATATGCTTCCTGCAGTTCTTCAGTACAAACCTAAGCAACTTCATACATAAGGACTAGCAAAAAGCCATAGAAATGGCTGTTCCTCACTGAGTTCTGAAGACCGCTGCCTCAAGATTAGCTGGTGTACCGAAATTCCCCAGTTCAAAATACAGTTAAATCAATTCAGGTTGTTAGAGATCAGGGATAGTTTGCCTAGCTTGCCTTTGGCAATTTCTCTTTGACTTACAGGAAATAATTCTGTGTGCATTTCATAAAGGACTACAACCCCAAGCAGAAATATTAAGAATGGGCAGTGAATTGAATGAGCAAAGGGAGTTAGTTTGCTATAATTATAATGATACAAATTAGTTTATTCAGCAGGCCACAATACTATATGTTGCTATTGTTCAAATCTTTCTAGATACACCTCCAAGCGATGCAGGTTTGGTAGTTGCTGTTAGTTGCTGTTCTGCAGCAGCAATACAGAGCCTAATGCCTCCCTCAAGCAGCTTCCCTTCCTATTGGGAAAAGCTTTCCTGCTACTGATGGAGATTAATAGAGAAAGAGAGAAGTCAGCTCTTGCTGCTGCTGTTGAGCTGGTGATAGCAGCTGGTGCAGGGAGGGTTTCCTGTCAGAAGTAGCAGTCACATCCTCACCATCTGTCACGCTGTGGCAGGCGTGGGTGGCAGCAGCGAGGAGCAAATGCTTCCTGACCACATGAAATGTCTCTTTTCCATGGGGATGAGCAGAAGGCTTCACAGAAGCACCTTACCCAACCTGCAGAACAGCATTTAGACTCTGTGCCCACCACTCTCCATCAGGACATCAAGTTTACTTCTACAAAACATGACTCATCCTACTTTGCAGCTAAAAGGAAAGGGCYATTGAAGTGAATGAAAGGGCTGTTAGGAAAGAAAAATGATAGGTCAAAGCCAAAACATCTGGAAAATAGAGCAATGTGGATTGCTTTCATCAAGGAGAAGGTTGGAAGAGATTACTCTTCACTCTCTGTACCCACTTGCTCTTTTGTGATTTTTCCAGGAGCAATTGGCAGGATCAATCAACTGTTGGGGAAAATATGGAGGAAATTATCAATAAATACCCATATCACATAGCAGAACTGAACYATAATCCTGAAAGCCCAGAGTGGGTGGAAGCGTCAGCAGTGACTTGGCTGTTACGACAATATCATTAAAAAGGACAAGGAGAAAATGGCCTTGTTGTGTCTAAAGTTAAAAAATGAAATAGAAATCTAAATATGAGTTAACTGCTGATGAAAGAGTTTGTGAAAATTGTAATTAAAAATAAAATCAGCTTCCGGCAAGGGAATATCTTGGGGGTTTTTTTTTGCATCCTCCCTGCTTCTTCACCTTTAAGTTCTCCATGCCCTCTCCATCTATTGACCTGAATCTTCATTCTGTGAAAATATAAGCTGTGAAAATGTGCTTGCTTTTGCCACAGGCTGCTTTTAAAAGAAAAATTAAAATGTACAGAACATCTCTCTCCTTTGTAGATCCAGGAAGACTTGACTGAAGAGAAGAAGCGAGAACTGGAACGAAATGCTGAGGAGCCATATGGCGAAAATGACGAAAATGTAAGTACTGTGTAAAGCCACCAGCACAATGACATGACAACACTTGAAAGACTCAGCACAGCTGTGATCATATTGCAGTGACACTACATAGCAGTTGTTGTAGCTTGCTTTTCGTCGTGGATCCCAAAACTTCAAGCTGTCCCAGTTCCCTCTTGTTCATCTCTCTGCCCCCGCATGGATTCAGGCTTCCTGGAGACCTTTCAGCCTTAAACATCTGGAAAGGTTTTTTTTTTTCCCTCTCCATTGGCTTGTCTATTACCATAGCTCATAACCACAAAAATAAGAAGACTGTAATTTGCACTGAATCTCACTTTTTTTAAAACAGGTTGATGAAAAGAATAATGGGGCAGATCAAGAGCAAGAATTGCAAGAAGAGAACAACCACAAGGAAGTTCGTGAAGACAATTATGAGGAAGAAGAGGAGGAAGAGGAGGAAGGTGGAGCTCTTGCAGCAAAAACTCGGAGACGAGGGGAGATGTAGTTTTCTTGTCTTTTGTGGGTCAAATGTAGCAGACAGACATTCCCAATCTACTTCCAAAAACGTTTGCCTTTTACACTTTTTACTTTTCTATTAGATGCTCTCATACATTTATATGAATACAGTATTTTGATACTCTAGATTAGCATTTCTTTTATATTAAAACTCTACATGAACAGACATCATATAGGTCTCGTGTTTCATAATTCTGAGAATGTTTTAAAAGGCTACTTTGGAAAAGGCTTTTACTTTGTCAGTCCGACAAAGCCATTTTTGGCTTTGGTCTAATTTCGGGTACATTTAATTTCTGGTCTAATTACAGGTACATTTAGCATCTGACAGAAGGTATCTAGTGCCTAAACCCAGCCAACATTAGTCACTTGAACTCCCTGTCTTCCTTGGCACTCTTGGATGACTAAGGGCTGGCAACACTACCTGTGCAAGGCACAATCTGCAGTGCTTATAAGCTTAGCCTTAGGCCCACAGGTAGTTTCAGTAGTTATAATCTCATGAAATAAGCACATGCCCAGGTATTTCCAGGACCAGGCCTTCATTTTATAGTTGGAGACCAGTTATAAAATATGCAAGTTTTACAAGCTTTCAAGATACAGCCATCTTAACAGCTGCTAATTTCAGCAGCTGTTTATATACAGTTAAATTATGCATTTATTTTAATGAGCGTACCTAGGTACTTCAATTACATGCACTGCATAGCAGATAATGAAAATGATGGTGTGCTGAGGTGATGTGAGCTAAAATGCGATTTAGACTTGAAGTTCCAGTATGCCAAATCTAAACACTACAGCTGTCGCACGAGGGAAGACTCACAGGACGAACAATGTGGTCATCCTAGTTAAAAGATAAAATATTTTTACTCAGATCAGTAATTTTATCACTTTAGTGACATGCTTTCTGGAGACTGTAGAGAAAGTTAAGGAGTTTTAACTGAGTTGACGTGATTGGTGCAGGACATCTTGTAAATAAATAGCAGAAGATAATCTGGCAGGATTTCTATTTCCTTGATTTAAAAAGAATTTTTTWAATTTTTTTTTCTAGTCTGAAAATGAGACTAGAGACAAATCCTCCCCACGTTGCCTGTATGCCTGTATGTAAAGGGGCAAAAACCCACCATGAAAAAACAGGTCTTTGGTAGGCTTTTATAAGCATAATCACGGCTCATGAATATATAATATGGATGTATTGGTACAGACCCTAGCTATTTAATATTAAAAGGAGATTGGGAATCTGGAGTTCCTAGGCTATGCCGCATTGCTGGAAATGAGGCGCACAGTAGCTCCCCATGGAAGTATTTGTTAATATATAAAAGGGGAGGGTTTGGGGATTTTTTTTCCCTCTTTTAATAATGGTGCATAACCATACTTTTAGTTTAACTTTTTATATGAATGTAATTTAATTTTTTTTACTAACTCAGTTATATTATGTTTTATAGTTGGTTTTCATTCTCTGCAGTTTTTCTAAGTGTCCCAARCAGCGCTTATGTTTCATAGGAATATTTTTGTCAGCAAGTATTTTGGGCTTTCAAATTACCATAAATCAGATTTACCTTATGTATAAAAAAAGTTTACATGATACTGTAAAATGTATAATATGTACATAATCTTCAGAATACAGTTATTTTGGTAAATCAGCCTGTATTTTTAATGTCACTGGTGTGGTATTTAATTATTTGAGGCATATTAAAATTTGACTGCAATCAATAAACTAGAAGATAGTTACTGTCCTTCAGGAACGTGATGTTTATTACACTTCCACTACTGCATTCATCCTGTATTTGCAGGTGCTTGTGCAGCAGAGGCTGGGGGAGAAAACCCAGGAACTGTTCCCTGGGGTGGGATGTTGAGTGGAGCAGATGAGGGCCCGTACTTCCCAGGCTGGCTGCTTTAGCACTTTGCAGGTGTGTGGCCTCTAAATCATTCCAGCAACGGGTGTCCTTCTGCACCTGCAGCAATAAAGCATCTTCTCCTTGGGTGCCAGGGGCCGACCTTGCCCTCTGCAGCACGTAGCAGAGATGAGGGAGCGAGGCCCAGCCTACGTGATCTCTGCCCTGCCCTTCCCCGGGGGGCAGGAGGCCTCTGTGCCCTCCCTGGGGGGCAGGAGGCCTCTGCCCCTTCCCCGCGGTGCCCGACCGAGGGGCAGACTCCTCCGAGGGGCCTTTCCTCCTCTTGTTGCCCTGCGGGGGGCCGGGCCTGCGGGCGGCAGCTGCTGAACGAACACAAAGGCCTCGCTGGCCTCTCACACCAGCAGCCCGCACCTGGGAACACGGCGGGTGTATTTCAAGGGTTTACGCTCACGACAGCAGCTCTACCACTCGCACACTGCCATCAGCGAGGGCAGCCCCATCACGGATGGAGCCACAGGGCACACAGTGTCTTCTGCTGCACTTCTAGAGCTGCTGACGTGTAATTCCGAGCAGGAAAAGTCACTTCCAAAGCTCCAGAGAGGCCTGAAACTGCCCAGCATCAGCAGGAGCAGAACAGGGGCTCCAGTTATCACTGGCAGGAGCCAGCATTCCCAGCTGATGCAGCMTTTACTTCAGCAGCATAACGAGCTCACACCTAATGTGAGCGGGCCAAGGGAGCTGTAATGAAAGTCCATCCTGTGCTTCATACGGGACCTATTCACACCAGAAAAGAGGTACTTGACTGAAGATCAGCTTTCTGTCAGTCCTTGCTGACACCAGCAGCGGGTGATGCCCACAGTGCATCAGAACAAAACAGCCAAAGTTGTATAAAATAAGGGTTATGGAGCTAGTTCCCACACTACCTGGGATACATTATTGTATCTGTGCCRATGCCAATGGCGAGTTGGGCAATTTCTCCCTGATCTGTAGGAAACACAGGCTGCACGAGGGGCTCCCTGGCACAGAAACCCTCATCTCGCAGATCCTGCTCACTACAAGGAGCCCGTTTTCAGGTCATTTATTGTGACAGGCCAGAAATGTGCAGGTCCCTACACATTATGCTGAGAAAGTTTCTAACACCAGGCAGTACTCTCAGACCCCAATCCTACAGGCTCTAACTTTATGTATAGCTTTATACCGTAATCTCAATGAATAAAACCAATATCTGGGAAGACATACAGGTAGGCAGAGAATTCATTTAAAAGCCAGTGCAGAGCACAAATGGGAGCTGAACTATATCCAGAGGCACCTCATCTCACATCCAGCATGACCTATTAAAAGCAAATGTTGGGCTAATGAAAACTGCAGTCATTGTCACAGCTAATTAGGGCCTGTGCCAGAAAACTGATAGTAAAGAAACAATATGGTTTTTGTTTTAAAAGATTAAAGGAGGAGTTTGCTATTTTCTCCCTCACAGAAGGGATGATCACACTGCTTCACACCGTGTAGACTTCCAGCGCTCCACAAGATCTGGATGGGGCTCCACGTCTTGTTTTATGGCATGTTGGATAGCCACGTTATCAGATTGATTTGCCTGTAAAATCAGGCAATGTGCTGCAATAAACTAAATATGTTGAAAAGTTGCTTATCTCACGATCAATATTTTGAAGGTTTTAAATAAAACTTGTTGAAAATAACRCTGTAATTGAAGCCTGTCTTTGTAAAAGTGTTATGACTCACAGCGGTAAAAGTGAGAAGCCACAAACCTAGTTATTCCTGAAAATACCATGAGATGTATTCAGAAGGAGGTTTAACATCGTAATATTGGACAACCTGACAGCATTCTGCAAGCTGAAAATACTAGAAAAGTTAATCGGAAAGTGATTTGACGCTGGTGTTTGTATGTATAAAGGTTCCTGAACGGTAACAGCTCCTGAACAGTAACRTCTCTCGTTCCATGCCGAACCCCCCACACTAAGACTGGATTATTTAGTGGTTCTGTTACAAGCCCAGGTGGCACAGCGAGAGGCTGAGGAGGGAACGTGTCCTCTCTCGTGGCCTTGCTTCGATTTCCTGCACGGATTTGGACTGTCCCATGATGAGCAGCGCACCAGGTTGTGCTGCTCGGCGATCCCACGGTCGGGCGCTCTCCTCCTTGGGGCCTCTCTCCCAGCAAAGCTGCTTAACGAGCAGTAGCTCCTACCCTGTCAATTCACACCTGAGCTTCCTCCGTGCTGAAAGTTCCCCACGCAGACAAATGTCCATGTCCTGCTCCCTCAGTTAAGGCAAAAAGCTGTTCATCTACCACTATTTACCTGCGACACGAGAGCACTAGCTTCTATCCTTCCTCTCCCTCTTTGTATTTAGACTGTTTTAATGTTCACATCTTTAACATGTTTTTAGAGGGTTGGTTTTTCCCTTCTTCATGCAAATCAATGTTACTTCAGGTCTATCTCTCACACACTGAACTATTTCCTTGAGCTTTGCAGATAATTTAAATCCTTTGCAGATAATGTCACCAATAGATGGATCTAACCCCCAAATTTGGGTTGCAGATACCTAATTCACAATACAGAAATTATCATCAGCATTGTAAGGAGAGAAGGAAAGAAGGGGGTGTTTTCGGTTTTCACATCTCCCATTTTATTGAAGTTTATACTGTAGGAAAAGAAAAATGAGAGACTATGCAAAATTCCTCTTTGCTTCAGGAAACCACTACGGATTTGTAACTGCTAAGGATTCGAAATTGTTTCAAAGAGCCCTGACTTTCTCGAAAAGAGATTCTTTTTCATGAAAGAATCTTTCATGATTCTTTCTGCTATGTTACAGCTGTGGGTTATTTTGAAACCATGTACAGCAGCACAGGTACTTAAAGATCTAGTGTGGTGGCCTGACTGTATTTTAAGCACGGGAAATAAAGCCCTCGTGTTCCTGTCACTGAGGCAGCAGTGCAGGGCTACAGCCCCGGTATTTTGGTCTCAGTAGAACTTAGTTTCATAAATCACTTGTTCTTTCTGTGATTTAAATTTTCTATGGCCAAATGCACATTGACAGGGACCGCAGTCTGCAGCGGCCTGAGCTCCGCTGCCTCCTGCCCTGCRGCGGGGCTTCTGCAAACAGGCAACAAACACAGGAACAGCCGGGTCATCCAATACCTAATAAGAGGATTAAGTAGAGAGGATTTCTATTTAATATTGTATTAGTAATAGCAGCTACCTTCCCTGCCCATGCTCACTCTCTCACAGGATACAATATCCACGCTTGTAAGGAAAGCCTATTGACATCTGATAAGTCAATAAATCTGGTTTTGCTTTTTAATGACCTCCGGGGCTGTTTCCACATGCTCACATAATCTTACCAACAATTTACCCTCATAAATTTATAACTACCCGTAAGGCTCTTTAGGCCCGAGCGCCCGATCAGCTCCCTTGCGGCTCTGCCCTTCTAGCAGTGAATCCAGCCTGGGCGCAGAAGAGGACTGGGCAAACRTCATCAAACCGACCAAACCCAGCAGGGCAGAGGCAGCACCAAGGGCACAGGGCCACTCACCCTGCCTCTGCCTGCAGGCAACTCAAACGCCTATGAACCTTGGCAGAAAAACCTCTCCCAAGGAAAAGGGATGATGCAGAGGGCAGGACACCAGGTTTGGAGAGAAGAACACCTGGTTTTGAGTCTTTGCTGCTAACTGTGACATTCGTAATGGCTTTATTCTCTGTGTTTCATTTTTTTTTGTCTCTATAGATGGGGAGGAAAGCACCATCTTCTTGCATATGGACTTCATAAATATTTAAAATACTCATCTATAAGTACATTATAGAGCCACACTATACTAATGTCTGCCATTTAAGTATTTTAAAAGGTCATTAGGCTTTTCACTGATCCATTCAATAGACAAACCAGAAACAACCAAGAAAAAAACCAGCATTACCTTCTGCTGTGAAACCCGGGGCAATTCCTGCAGAAGCAACGAGTGGGACTGCATGGCAGCGAACTGCACGGACCACGGCAGTAGCGAGGCCAGCTAGGCAAAAGCTTCTCCAGATTGGAGGGTGTATTTTGATGCTTTCTGCTCTCTATCCTTTACACAAATGAGACTAAAAAAGTTATCACTCCACTTCACRGCAGAGAGGAGCACAGAGATAAAGCTGCATAAACAGAGAATCTGTGCCATAGCTCCGAACTGACACGCATCCAGGGCTCCCACATGCCTTAAAATCTGCATCCCACCCAGGGCCCAAGCAAAGCAGAGGTGTTAGCGAGCAGCTTTAATTTTAGGAAAATGGTTAACACACGGCAATCATCAGATAAGATCGGCAGCAAGTGCAGTGCCACAAAACACACAGCGCGAGGCAAAGCTGGCTATTTCAGAGACGTGGTGAGTGCTGCGCCCGCTGCCCTGTTAGCACGGCTGC